ATATCCTGGGCAGTGTCCATAGATAGATAGCCCTCTCCAATATTCGGGACCATAGAATGTATGAACCAACCCATAATTAGGGTGTTGGTGATCTTCCATTGATCATAACTCTGGTTTGTGGTGCTGGGTGCCTATATCCTGCCATCAACATATCCCATCTTCCCTCTGCTCTTCAAAAAAATAGTCAAACTCTGCGATCGCGCTAGATAGTTCTGACCATTAATTGAAGAGGTGGTGATTTTAATATTAGGGTTGGGGTTATCAATCATAGTAGTAGGTATAATAGAACTCTCACTCTTAGGTATCGACACACTGGTGGAATCTGCCATGGATACTATACTACCTAACCCTCAACAAAACTAGTGCCAATTACAAACCCGAAAGATAGTGGAGGAATAGTAAGCATGATGACCACTAAGAATTTTAAAGAATTAAACACTCATCAACTTTACTCTTTTTTTTTTTTTTAATTTTTAAAAAAGGAAAAATAAACAAACAGAGGTCAAACAGGAGCAAAGGTCAAACAAAGGTCATTACCTCATCACACGCCCAACGATAGAAGCAGGAGTCAAACAAATAGGAATATGACTCAGCCAAGAGAGACGACACTCACAGAAACCACGACAGCAGCTGAAGTCCAAGGAAGCCAGAGAATGCCTCAGTCCTGTCGGCAGGGGCCAAGAGACTACCAGTGGCAGTCAACGATCTTGCCTCACTGGTCGTCTCAGACCAGAAGGTCTGTTGATAGGACCACCAAGTGTATGGGCACCTACGACAGTAATCGAAAGGGGCTGACCTGTTCTCCGACAGGTTCAGGAGCTAGCGTGTGATACCCCTATTCCGTAATATGCTAATTGGTCCCTAATACGTATGTGACTATATGTTTTGATATGATTTTTGTATGCCATTATGTGAGTATATGCGATTTTGACTATATGTTCGCCGTAGGAATATCTGTCTGAATAATCTGCTTTGGAAATTTAATTGAGGATCTTATCGGCCACAGAACCCGAAATTGATTACGCCATTGTGATTGGCATAATGTTTAGAGCCTACGGTAAAATTTAATTGAAACATTGATTTGGGTCAGATTAAATTGATTAAATTGATAAATTAAGTACCCCATTATTTTATATTAAAATATTGGTTAGTGGGGCTTGTTGTCTATTTGCATTGCACTCTCCTTTAGCTCTCTTAAAACTCAAAATCTGAGTTAGACAATTGAGAGTGAGAGAGAGGCCGGCTATAGAGAGAAAAAGGGAGAGATTTGTGTAATTTGGGCTCAAGACTTGGGAATTTGAAGATCTAGCTCAAGATTTGGCTAGAGCTTGAGTGTTGAAGCTCTTAGGTAAGTGAATTCATGGACTCTTGCTTGTAATTTGTAAGTTCAAAGTTGAAAAAAATGTTAAAGAACATGAATTGAGTTGGTTTTGTTAAATTTGAAGTCTTAGAACTCATGTATGTAAGAAATTACTTTGAATTTGCATGTTTGAGCTTGAAACACATGATTCATGTAGAGTTTTGGTAAAAGCTCATGTTGTAATCACCATTTGTACCATCTAAGTTGAGAATGATGAGCATCTCCCACATGCATGTACAAATCATGGGAGTATAAGTCTTGAATGTTTGAATTTGAGCATGTTGGTGATGGGTTTGAGATATTTTGGGACATGCATGTAGATAAATTATGAAATTGAGCTTCAATATGTTGTAATTCTATGTTTGTACCATGTTAGTACATGATTATGTGAAGATTGGACCGAAATCATGCATTTAGAGCCTTTGAATGTCGAGATGAAGCTCAAGAACTCAATCTGGAAAACCCAGATTTTCGATGTCCGCTCGAGCGGGTGAAGTGCCGCTCGAGCGGAGAAAACGAGCTCCCAGCATTTTTTTGCAGACATGGTTCCCGCTCGAGCGAAGGAATTTGACGCTCGAGCGGGGAGCTATGTAGACAGGCAGTACGCTCGAGCGGCCGAGTTCACGCTCGAGCTGGAATTGAAGGCAACCAGTACTTTTGTAGACCTAAGGGTCCGCTCGAGCGGGTAAGTCCACGCTCGAGCGGGGACCCTATTTTCTGAAATCCTGTTTTTGCATTTTGTGTTCTGTTTTCCGTTCTCTTTCACTTGCAAGCACTCTTAGGCATATGTTAAGCATTGTAAATGAGTTAATGAGATAATAATAAAGCCTAAAGAGGAATATGTGAATTAAAGAACGGATTGAACTGTTAATGACCCTTTTGTGTTCATGAAACGTGTAGGGTCAAGCTCCAGGGCAAATCCACAAGCCGATCACTGTGAGTAATATCGATATTTGAATGCTTGTGAATGTCCAATTGTTTACTCCCTTTTAAGCTTTATGAATTGCTAATTGAGATTGTGGGATTGTGGACGTAAATCTGATATGAACGCATAAATGGACCCAAGGTCGTTTCGATAAGCATAAATGGACCCAAGGTCGTTTTGAAATGAATGAGTGGGCCAAAGGCCGTTTTGAAATGAATGAGTGGGCCAAAGGCCGTTTTGAAATGAATGAGTGGGCCGAAGGCCGTTTTGACACGAATGTATGGGCCGAAGGCCATTTTGATAGAAATGAATGGGCCGAAGGCCGTTTTGATGTAAACGAATGGACCAAAGGTCGTTTCGATATAAATGAATGGACCGAAGGCCGTTTTGATGTAAATGAATGGACCAAAGGTCGTTTTGACATGAATGAGTAGGCCGAAGGCCGTTTTGACATGAATGAGTTGGCCAAAGACCGTTTCGATATAAGTGAATGGGCCGAAGGCCGTTTTGCCATGAATGGAAACCCAAATGGGCCCAAGGCCCGAATGTTTGAAACTACAGTTACTTGATTTGCATTTCGTATAGTCATATATATTTGTTAAATAGAAGTATGAATTGGGCCCAAGGCCGTTTGGAGCATGTTGTTCTACATATTGTTATGCAACTGTCATATTTGATATTATTCACTGGGCTATCGCTCACGCTCATTCATGTGTTTGTAGGTGAGCCAAGAGAAGCACAAACCCAGCCCCAGTGAAGTCTGTATGGAGCAACTAAGGTTTTGAGAGAGTCAGCCCTTGTGTTTCACGTACGAGACCCGTCTTTGCCCTTTTGTTATGTATTTACATTTTGTCATGTTGGCGAGGACTTTGTGTATATCTATACATAGCTGTGATGGGTCGACTTAGTTTTGGATGATCCTGTCTGTACAGAACCTATGTCGCTATGTTTCTGTTGTGAGTTATTAACGCACATATGTATGGTTTTTTTTTTGATGTGCCATGTAAGCACAGCTCTATGGACAAAGTTTTAAATTTTGCTTCCCTTTTTGGCCCCTTTACTCTGATGTGTTAAGTCTGTTTTGGCTTGAGGCCGTAGGTAATCTTAGGATTACTGGCCGGTTACGTCCTTAACCCATGGGGGCGGGTTTGGGTCGTGACATAGCGTCTGGGCCAAGGAGCCCTTCGACAGTAGGCAACGAGGCTAGAAAGGTATGGTGGCTGTGTGGTGTATTGATTTAGGTTTTAGGGTTTGGCTCTGATACCATGATAAATTTAGAGAATACAAATATTAGGGTATGAATAGGATATCATCTCCTATTTATATTAATGAAGATTATTAATTACAGGGAAGCCCTAAGGCATAAAATAATTACAAAATAATCATATATTATTCTAACAGGTTTGTAGAAGTATTTTTGTTTCACTAATTCAATGTTATAAAAACCGGACCGGTGAGTGAACCAGAAAAGAGTTAGGGTGGATGGATCACTGGTTCAACCATCGGGTTGAACCGGAATCGAACCGTGATGTCATAATTATTTTATAAATATTTTTATGATTTAAAAATAAATAAAATACATTCAATAAAAATATTTTTATAATTTAATATATATATTCATCAAACATATATGTTTAAATATATATTTATATTAATATTATTTGTAAAAATATTAATTATACATGTGTTTGAGGGAAATTAGTTTAAATACAATTAATATTATATATTTCCTACATATTAACAAGGAATCATGGTGGCAGAGTGGAACTTCATATTCTTTGGAGCTTGAGGTGTTGGGTTCAAGTCCCTTTAGCATAACTTTTTCAATGTTGGACCAAATATAGCAAACCGGTCTGGTTCGCTTCAACCCGGACCGGGTTGACCGGTTTAACCGCGGTCCCCACCTATTTTGTTAAAATGACCAGTTTTCAAGAGGGACCGGGTTAGAGGGTATATCCGGAGCAGACCATGGACCGGTCGATGGTTCAACCAGTCAAACCGGCCGATCCAGTCCGATTTTCAAAACATTGCACTAATTTCCACTATTCTAGATACATCATGGTACGGAATTATTTGGGCTACAAAATAAAACTAGATTTTAGAGCAAGATTTGATAAATAATAGTCAACAAATTGGTATTCATTTATCAACAGATTTTTTTCTTCCATTTGAGCTCATTTCAATAATTCTTTTAGTTGCTTTAATAGGCGCAATTGTTGTTGCTCATCAATAATAAATCTTTAGAACTAGAAATCAAAATCAAAATCAAAATCACAATTGGTGAATCCCAATTGAGATTGTTTTTTCCAAGTTAAAATCATTTTCTGTCAAGTTTATTTAATTGCTAAGTTTAGATCTGAAACAATTCTTTTGTCTATGAGGATTGTTTTAGATTACACTTAGTGTGTTGTGAATTGTTGGGATCATCTTGCTCGTGATTGGAATTGAGTATAATCACAAATCACAATCTCAGAACTTAGGCTTTTCACCCATTATTTTATTTATTTATTTATTTTCCCAATTTCATTGATATCAACTGAAAGCATCCATTCCCACAAACACGGATGGAAACATTTCCGAATCCTATGACTAGTCCATACTTGGAAAATGGCAATGAGATGAATTAGGTGTTAAACACCGATGAACTCATGTTGTATGACTAATTGAGACTTATAATATGAGAGTAAAGGTTTTGAATGGAAGAAAAAGACTAACCATTCCACTGAAATCTAATGTTATAGGATTCTCAACTTTTTCTGCAACTCTTATGGCTTCAAGCCACCATTCATCTTTCTTGACGCTATCTGTGACGCTTTCATCACCGTAAAATGTAATATGCTCCTGAACATTTTCAACAAGTTGACATTCAAGGTTCTCGTCCACCGAACCTCCATTATGCCCAACAAAATTGATGAAAATTGTAGCATCAGGAATGACATCAATAGGGATTGGACGCAAAGGGGATCGATAACCTGTTACCATCAATCAGCTCAGTGAAAATGATCACAAATTGGTGAAAATTGTTGGACAATTAATAACTACGAAAAAACAAAACCCTTCTACACCTCTGCAATCAGGATCATGGCATTTCTGATAATAAATGGCTCTTCTTAGGTCAACAATGTACATCACTGAAACAAAAAGGCACAAAGAAAATGTCAATGGACAATAGGATCAAATGGATCGCACGAGTAGTTCAGGCTGTCTTATTTTCAATGACACGACAGGATCAAATGGATTGCACACACAAAAGCAGTGTCTGCCTTAACCAAAAAACAAAAAGATTTTATTGGAAACTGAAAACCATGAATGCTGCACAAAAATTTCTGCAAAAGAATAATTTAAGAGAGTTTGATTGTATTTATAAGCTTATAGCTTTAAGAGGAGATAAGGTATGACATTTACCATGATTGCTTTTATGTTGTCTACCAATTCGTTCACAATATCTATTTCTTGACATGCTGTAGACCATCAATCCATACTCTGAGAACCAATACCAACTTCGGATTTTTCCTATAATTATAAAACAAATATAAAAAAAGGGGAGAAAAAACGTTTGAGTATTTGTATTAAACCATCTTAACAGGAATATGAAGTCACAAATGGCAAAAGGCTAAAAAGTTATTATACACTCACAAAAAGTTCATCAGTTGCCCATATTAACGAAGGAACGGAACAATTAAGTTGTCATTTCCTTGACTCTCTAAAGCCTAAAGTAAAACAAAAACTGAAAACTACAAAAATCATGGCTACAGAATTTTAAGGGAGGCTGCGGTTGGGTGACTTGGGAGAAAGCAAAAGTCAAATTTCTCTCAATTGGGAAACTGGACTAAACCAGAGATTCAGTATTCACCATAAAAATGGAAAGCATGCTGCTGAAATATTTTTTAGCAGCACGTTTTTAGCATGTGGCCTAGTTCAATAAGTTAAAGCACATAGAAATCAGATCAGAAAATTAAATTTACAAAGAGAGGGGGGGGGGGGGGGGGGGGGGGGACCCTTTTTTAGGAACCATTTTTTTTTTAATTTTATATTTGACATGGTTGTAGAACTTGTAGTTTACTGAACAAGAAACCACCTGACACATTTCCTACTGATGCAATAGATTCCACAAACGCGTCCAAGGCTGGAAATGGTGATTTTCCCATCAAATAAGTTCTTGAAACATCACTTGTGCAAGAATTCAAAGTGAATTCTTGAGAGGCACCTGATTGCTTTTGGAAATCACTATTTACCTGAAACAAGAAAGAACACATCACATACAAGAATCTGAAACATGATAACAATGTTGTAACCATTAAACTTGACAGCAGGGTATATTTAGACCCATCAGTGATGATAATGTATGAAAGATATTGGAAACATACCCAATTACTTCACAAGACAGATCCAGCTTTTTGGAATTTGGAATAAATTAAGCAGCAGAGCAGATCACAAAATCTTTTTCTTTCTTTTCTTTTTTTTTAATAAAGAAAAATCTTAGTCAGACATCCCACATTACCTCTGTATCAAATTGAAGGACTTTCACGCAATCTAAATCCATTTTGCAGATTAGAAGCTTCTCACAGTCAACATCCATGTTGCAGATCAAGGATGCCATGAACACATCTTCTTCACTCTGAAATATATCAACCCATTAATTGTAACACAAAAACAAGCTATCATCAAGCAAGGCTTAGACAAAAAAAATATATATATTTACATTCATATTGTAGTAATACAATCCAGTGAGATGCTTTTGACTCCAGGTTTTATCCGTGATGGGGACTGGGAGCTCGTGGGGGAGGCTAGCAGAATTGATTGGTCTCAGTGGTTACTTTAGCTTGTTATTACGGTGTTTTGTCGTGTATCAGTTTATTTATGTTTATGTGGTTCCTTTTGTATACTTGCCCATATATTTTTCCCAAGTTTTCATCTATTATCTTTGATGGTAGGGGTTACTTGGGTAAAAAAAAAAAAAAAGAATATATGCGCAAATTTGGGTATTTATGACTTCTTTTGTTGGTTTCTTGCAAACGCGGGGTTGTTATAGTTACTATTTGTATTAGTCTTCCCCCCTCTTTGGGGGGCAGTGATAGTTTTGATGTATTACCTAGGGAATACCCTTTGTAAATGTGTAAATTTTTTGTATTTATTTTATGACTTACCCACCCCAAAAAATATAATCCAGTGTTTTTAAAGGCTCAAGGCACATGTTGGATATTGGGTCGAGTTTAGAACCTGGACCCACCTGGGTCGCCCATGGTAGCATGACCCGATTAGGAGAGATCCAAATAATATAACAGATTATATTTGTCATTCAAGATATAAGATAATCTTGATATGGGATAATTGTCAATATATAAATATATATATTATATGATAATTATTGATTAGACATTCTTGATATGGCATGGACATTATCTCGGATAATATATCTATCCTATGGATCTCCTAACTCTCCTATATAAACAGAAGTTGGGTTTTGTATTTCACACAACAAAAAACTATACGCACTCTCTTCCCATAAACCATATCACCTTTCTACTAGGAATGGTGTGGGTAAAACTCTTGTAGTTTTACTCTATCGCTGGTAGAAATTATTCAAGAGTTCATTATTCACCTTTCTAAGCTGGATTCGTTGTACAATTTGTTTACCCACAAAGTATGCCTGAATCCATATAATTATTCCGTTCTGTATATAGTATTATATTTCCTTCATTGGTATCATAGCCAAGTTAAGGTGTTTTCTTGCTATTGAATATCCAAGAAGTTAGTATTTTATGCTAATATATATGTATATTATTTTTATTTTTATTCGCATAAAATACTGCTATTTGATCAAAATGATTTTACCAAATTTTTATTATGTCTGCAATTAAATTTATACTATTTATAACCATTCACATGTATATAATATCTGCAAAATTACATCAATAGATAATGAATCATTATTTGTAATTTTATGTTTTAAAGTTATCAGATATTTAATGAAAACAGCATGTGGAAACGGAATTAAAATAAATTTAAAAAGTAGAACGTTGTGACAGGCGCTGGGCACTGGTGTGTTGCGTTGATGCAGCGCTGATCACCTGCTAACCATGTGCTGATGCAAGCGCTGACACATGCGCTGACACGACCGCCGACATGTGCGCTGACCCGGAGGCAGGCGCTGGGACGTTTAGGCCCTGTTTGTTTTTTTTTTTTTTAATTTAAAAAACTATGTTAATTGCTTCCAAAATATTTGTTGTAATTCCGCTTTGAGCATGACCGGTATCATTAGTCTTGTAATTATTTTTTCTACAATCTGTTTAAATTTCAGATTTTATGAAATGTAAAATATTTTTTTCTGATTTATTAACTCAATATTTTTACGTTAAAATGCTTCTGTGCATGCATAATTGATTTTCTGACTTGAATTTTTTACAGTAAAACACTGAAATGATATGCTATTTACTGGTATAAGAACTATACTGCTTCGGTTTCTTAAATTTTTATGTAAATTTTTTGTGTATAATTTAATTAAAGCAAATCTCATAAAATTCCAGAAAATTCCAGAAAATTTCTGAAATTTATTTGCTTCTGTTTAGCATATTCTGGATGTTAGAAACAGCATGATTAATTTTTTATATGTTAGAACTCATGTTGTTATCTCCAAAGCATGATTAACATTAGTTAAAGTTTCATGATAAAATGTTGGTTATCATTTTCTAGTTATATTATCATTTTGAGATGCTCATACATGAATCTTTCAAATCATACTTATTACATGGCATATGCACTGGAGGATTATTTTTTTGATAAACATTTTTTTTTTTTGTGCATTAAATTAAATTGAATGTTTGATAAAAATCACTAGAGATGCAAGAGATGATTATAAGCTTAAAGAATTTTCGATCTTGCAACATGTGAATTTTTTTATTAAAATTTAACTAGAATTTATGCGCCAACATTATTCTGTATGTGCTAAAATTTTATCCCATGCGCATTTTTTCTCGGAATGTAGTTAACTATGGCAGGAAAAGGCATTGTAGCTGATTTGACTAAAGAGGAAAAACTGAATGGTGATAACTACGACATATGGCGCCGTAAATTCCAGTATCTCTTGAATGAGAAGAGGTCTTGGAGAACTCTTGAGGAAGTGATGGTTGAGTCTGAGCAAGGGCACTATAGCTAAACATCGTCGTGATCTTAAGGCCTATCAAAAATGGCACAACAAAGATCAATGTGCGTGCTTTACGATGTTAAGCAGCATGCATAACAACTTGATAGCAGAGTTTGAAGGTTCCTTGACTACTTTTGAAATGTGGGAGGCTCTCAAACAAAAATTCGGTATCACCTCTTTGGCTAAGTTGCATAGGTTGACCAAGAAATTTGATTCCTATCAAAAAAAGGCACATCGTTCAATGAAGTAGCATCTAAAGGTAATGTCAACTATGATACGCGAGCTGGTGGCAGCAAGTCATAATCTGACACAAGAGTAGCAAGTTCGGGCAGTGATTCGCTCCCTTCCTCATTCATGGGAAGAAATGGAGCATCATATGATGCACAATGAAAATGTTAGAACATTTGAGGACATATCACGTCATTTGGAGCATGAGGCTGAGGGCCTAGAGGCGGCTAAATTTGACAGGACTGATCTTGTTGCAAAGTCTAACTCGCGCTGGGCATATGGCCTTAGGTACGGAGGGACTAGGCGTGCTCCCAAAAGAAAGATGGAGTTGACCTTGGGCCAAAACGCGCTGGCAATTTCAAGTGCAAAAGAGGTAAGAGGGCTGGCAAGAAAGCTAAGGCTAACATGGCGTGCTTTAACTGCAAGAAGGAAGGACACTTCGCTCGAGATTGCCCCGAGCTAAAGAAGGTATTCCCTAACTTATTTTCTTGCTTTGACTGCTATGTTTCTAGTCAAGTTTTTGTTGCACACTCTCCTCATTTGTGGGTTGTAGACTCAAGAGCAACCTACCACGTAGCGAGGGGCAGGGTTGGGTTCGTTGAGTATCGTCGAGTTCCAGCTGGTAGCAAAAAAGTATACATGGGGAATGAATCTTGCGTGGAGGTGCTTGGGATTGGCACTTACAAGCTGGAAATGCGATGTGGGCATATATTATATCTTCATGACGAACTCTATGCTCCGGAGATTCAACGAAACTTATTATCAATTATTAGCATGATGAGTCTTGGTTTTAATTTTTAGTTTGAGAGTGCACAAGTTAGCATTTATTTGGGTACAATTTATTATGGTAGTGGTTTTATTTTAGATGATTTTTTAGTTCTGGATGTTAATAATTCTAGTTTGAATAATGTCAATGATTATTTCATATATTACGTCTATTTGTGATGTTGATAATGATTCTACAAAATGGCATGCTAGATTAGGCCACATTGAGAAAGACAAAATGATGAGGTTAGCTAGAGATGGCCTTTTAGGCCCACTCGCTAGGGTCAATCTACCCACTCGTGAGCATCGCCTTGCTGGCAAGGCAACCAAAAAACTATTTGGAAAAGCCAAAAGGGCATCTTTCCATTACAACTTATTCACTCTGACATATGCAAACCAATGAATGTTAAGGCAAGAAATGGAGCTCCTTATTTAATCACATTTATAGATGACTGCACGCGTTTTGGTTGTCTATTTGATCTCCCATGAGTCAGAAACATTGGATTGCTTTCGATGTTATGTTTTAGAGGTTGGGAATCAATTAAGCAAAAGCATTAAGGCTTGAAGGACAGGCTGAGACCGCGAATATCTATCTAAGCTATTCGAAAAGCTTCGTGAAGAGAAAGGAATAATTAGACAGTTGACAATTCCTAGCACTCTACAACAAAATGGTGTAGCGGAGAGAAGGAATCGAACACTGCTTGATATGGTTAGGTCGATGAAGGTGAAAGCCAATCTTCCCATTTCCTATTGGGGAGATGTTTTGCTAACTGCTACTTACATCCTTAATCATGTGCCTTCTAAATCAGTACCTTCCACCCCCTATGAATTATGGATCGGCGAAAAGCCAAATTTGGACAATTTGCGGCCATAGGGTTCAGTAGCTTTCATACACAACACTTGTCATAAGTATGGGAAGTTAGGCCCTACAGGAAATAAGTGTATCTTCATTCACTATTGTGAGCATTCTAAGGGCTATGTGTTCGTTGGAGAACAGCCGAACAAGAGTGTGACTAAAATTCAGTTGCGTGATGTGGATTTCCTAGAAGGGGATTTTCCTAGGAGAGGTGAGGTTAGTAGAGATGTAGATCTCTATGAGATGAAGGAACCACAACATAGCGCACCACGTAGCTTAATTGAGAATGAGGAAATCCCTCAAGCTCCTAGGGAGTCGAGACAGTGGGAGCGACATGCTAATCGATGGACTAGGTCCAACAGATGTGGATTCTCAAGAACCTAAACATCATAGAAGTGAGAGTGAATCCATCCCTCGTCGTCGTTTTGAGATTGAGAGGGAAGCATTCATGATTGCTCCAAGTGACATTACTGAGGCAAAAACAGTAAAAGAGGCTCTAGCATCTCCTACTAGTAATGAGTGGAAAGTTGCGATGCTAAATGAGATGGAGTCTATGAGAAAAAAACCATGTTTGGGACTTGGTTGATCTGCCACCCAAGTGCAAGATCATTGGGAACAAATGGGT